TAAAAAACTAAAGTTGATGTATAATAGCGTTGTATAAAGACTTAAATTGTATAAATTTTATTTAAAACATTCTAACAAGAAAAAAGAAGTTTTAGTCTGAAAGACTTTTTGAAATGTAGTATTATTTCAATGTAGAAAAGAATTGGCACTTGCTTTGAAAAGAATAGAAGTTAACAATGTACTACTAATGTATGTTTTCAAATGTGTAAAATTAACGGCATCTTCATATGTTCTTGTATACATGTGAACTGTTATTTTGAATGTTTAGAAATACCGTGATATGGTAAAAGTGAAAGTAATGTTAAAAAATTTTGTTATTCGTGTGACTGTAAAGATTAAATCATGCTGAATATGTGTTAAAGGTTGAATGATGTAGTTAGGCTCTCTGACGCTACACTTTAGAGTTAGCCACTTTCAGAATAGTACCTCAGGGTCTAGAGTTGAAATTAGGGTGTGTTAAGAGGTCTCGTATGTTGAATTTTAACACGTTAGTGTTTTGATTGTAGGAGGAAGTGTTGAACACATAGACAGAAACACATTCGTGTTTGGTGTTCTTTTACAACACATGTCAGAGAGCACGGGGAGAGATAATTAAAATAGTCATGAATGAAATAAGAATGTTAAGAAAAGTATATTCTATATGTTATTTACAATGTCATTCTGTAACATTTCATTAAACTAGTTTTCCTTCCAGATCTCTGGAAGGAACCAGAATTGAATAAAGCTCCTGTTTTGATGCAGTACAGATGAAAAAGAAAAAAGATTGTTGTATATTCCGGGGAGCTGCTATTGTAACAAATTTCTTTCTTTTAAAATTTTCTAGTTTCTAGCTAAGTTATGTTTGTAAAAGTTTGGCCTCGCGTTAGTTTCTAGAGCTAAAAGTTTTCAACAAGGTCGTTTTAGACCTCAGTTTCAAACTAATTAACTCTGGCGGGAAGTATGTAAGGATCTTAAGTTTTACTAACGTTTATTTTATTTTAAATCTTTACTATCACTTCTTATTTTCTACTTCCGGCCAGAATTATAAGCGTGAAGGAGTTTATGCAAAGTTGTCTGGCGAACGCCAAGTATTTAAGTGTGGCCTTTTTGCCAAGCGAAAGAGAGGAAGCCGTGAGTTCGAAGCAGGCCGCTTACCTTAGAAGTTACGCAGTTGCTACTTTGCCTTCCAGGCCAGAGGTTTTAATCCTCTTGATAAATTAAACGTATTGTAGTGTTCACAGTCTCTGTGCTACATACGCTTCCTGTTATTATAAGGCCAATCTTATTCTAAAGTTAAATTAGAGTTTAGTTTTATTTTGATATCTTTTAAGTTAGACCCCAAGTGGAGGGTCATTGTATTCCGAAGGACGGAAGTCATTGTATATAAAGAGAAAAATAAAGGGTTTTGTATACCCTTCGTCTGTATCCTGTCCACTTACTACAATTAGTGAACATAGCTTTAGTAAGCTCTCTGTTCTAGTCAGGTCATTGTATGTTTCCGAAGAAAGTTAGAAGAAACATTGAACCTGATAAGGTTAACATAAAAGCTCATATTTTATATAGTTTTAATAAAGAAGAGATATAAACAGCACTCTCAAACTATTAAAGCTTATTTTCTATTATTAAATACTTAGTTTGAAATTGATATAAATATAGGTATCGCATGCATAGGATTTTTGCTTTTATGGAAAAAAAACAAAGAATAAATGTAAACATAGTCAAAATAGCATTGCTAACTTAACAGAGCGCCATCACACACTGTGCACACATTAAAGATTTAAAATGATTCATGTTCTTATATTCTTCATGTCACTATTACATCATAGGTTCTGTTTTGTAATGCATTACTTTAGTTTGTGATTGGTTTTATTTGTATTACATGCAAAGAATTTTGAGGCTTTTGATGTTAAATACAAATGAAGCTGTAAAATAATATATGAAAATTTCAATAAATGACATAAGCAATAAATTTTGGCTACGATTGACTTCATTTGTCCATTGGCTTCTAAAAGTTATACATGTCATGCAAATTAGCATTTTCCAAAAACATAACTAAATCTGAGTGGCTGAAAATTGCAGTGGATGCAGATGGCAGTTATGCTACAGAGAATCATGTTTGACTGTGCAAACATAAGCTAATTAAGCACTTGTTGAAGACACGAGCATTCTGAAAGGTTTGAGAAGATTCCTTTAAATGTTAATATGAAATGTGCATGACTTTTGTAAGGTAATTTTTGATGATATACATATTTCTAGAGCTGAAAGATGAATGGTATATAGCGAAAATTCGCATGCTATTGGATGCACTGAAGCAGAGCAATCAATCAAATGTTGCTCTTTACTTTGTTAATGTTCATATGTTAATTTCTAAAATGTGGAAAAAAATGCCAAACAAGTCAAACAGTTGTCCAGAAATTTGTGTCAATTCAGAATCACCACCTCTTCTGAAGATCAGTACATTGCTATAGTAGCCAAGCAGAATCAATGAGCAGCCATCACAGCTAATACATCCATAGTTGTAGGGTCACTTGGTAAGACATTATCTGCCAGTCCTGTGCGCTGCATGCTTCATATGAAGGGATTGCACACCCAAATACCAAGTTTTTGCATTCTACTAAATGCCCATCCACATGGGCAAGATTAAAGTGACGTCAGAAAAATCTCAATATGATTGTCTCGGACTAGTGCAGTGTCTTGTTCACAGACGAATCCAGATTTTCCCTACAATCAGATGTTAAGTGTGTAAGTGTCTGGAAAGAGCGAGACGTCGAATCAGGCCCAAAACATTATCAAACATCATACTCTAAGAGGTGGCAACATCATGTTGAGAGTTGTAGTTTCAAAGGGTTTTTACAATCAGCTAGCAACAAATCTTTAAATATAGTTTTATGACAGCTGCATGACATCAGGATGAAGTCTTATACCCCACTGTAAGACTACACCCGTCGCAACTGAGCCAGCATCGTTAACAAGTAAATGGAGGGTAAGGGTTTTCTTGCATGAGTGGCTGCTGTTTTCCCTTGAGTTTAATCCCATTGGAAATCAAGAGAGTGAGTGGGGTGTGTGTGTGTATATATATATATATGTGAGTATGTACACACCCACTCTGTACTTTAAGTACACACCCACTCTATTACCCGGCTCGCAAGCTCAGTATTTTATTCCTACAATGCTGTTAAATTGCGATTTTTTTTGCTGTAAAAATGATTATATTATGTTGTCCTTAAGTTCCGGTTAAGGTTTTTTATGCCTTTAATTAACCTGCATGCAATAGAATTATCAACAATTTAAAACCTTAAGTGGTGAGTTAAGTGCCAATGAACCGCCATTTGTTAGCATTTGAAACTCAGCAGAATAAAGTCAATTTCTGAACCTTCAACGTCCTTTTGTCGAGCTGGACTAAAACTTTCAGTTTTGTGCACCAAAAAATGTTTCTTCCTGCCCAAAGGCTAAATTGCTTGTTTTTGCATAGAAACTCTAATTTTAATTGTAAAAATTGAACTATTTGTAACCGTTTGATGTTCTTCTATGTTTTAGTTTTTTTAATGAAGATGTTCTGAGTTTTTATATATTTTCGCTTTGCCGCGAGGTGAGAACTGAATTAACTGACTGAGAAATATATCTCTAAAGAAATTCGGGGAAATAAGTTTAAATGAAATGCAGCAAAAAATGTGTATAATTTAAATACATCATACAAGAAAGTCATGTGGTGTCCACATAAGATATTTTTCATTTCTGATATGGGCTCAGAAATATGATAGCCATGGTTTTGGATCTAGTAGAAACTATACCACAGTCGTACAGCCTTAGAGAATTTAACTTCCTCAGATTTCTTCTCCTTTAAAATGAAAATGAATCTAAAAGGGATATGACCAAACTCTTCAAGTCAAGAAGGAATTATAAGCTATGCTAAGTATTGAACAAAAAGCAGCTTCATAAAGGCTTTCAATTCATAGAATGGGGATAGGATATTTTTTACACTGAAGGAGAAGTATTTAATGCAATGGTCATGTATTAAAAAATTATATATGAAAATAAAATATGACATAAATTAATAAATTATTTTGTAAAAATTTTTATGAGGATTTTGATAGCTCTTGATACAATGAAAAGAACGCTTACTTTAAACAACCAACATGTTAGTATTTCAAAACAAATCAGATATTCTGAAAGCAGTTAAGCAAATGGTGCTGTATGACTTAATATTAAACTGCCCTTGAAAAGAAGACGGGAATGAAAATTTTTAATAAGAGAGATAAAAAAATATCCATTCTAAATAATGGTTGCATAAGCAACCATTATTTAGAATGGATATTTTTTTTAGGAGAAAGGTACAACACAAAACGAATGCAATGAAAACTGGCAAACGAAATTAACATACAATTAACTAAACGCAACATTGATCATAATTATTATATAACAGCCATACAGTCTTCCAACCTGAAAGGAAAGCCCTGAAAATTTGAAAATTATTTGGTACTTCACAATTTTTTGCAATTCCCCCCCCCAAACACACACAATTTTTTAATACTTGGTTGAATTTCTGTGTCTTTGGTGTATTTTCAAGTATATGTGCATTATTAGAAACCTTACATGTGTGCATACTGCATGTGTTTGAGTACAAGTAGATTTACATATTTTATATTTAACTGTCATTTCACTGAACAGAACTACTGGCTGGAAAAATGTAAATATTGGCTATAATACTTTCAATTTTTATCACGAAATTTCTTATTTCTTAAAAAATGTTTCTGTCAGTATTATCTATAAAAAGAACCTATAAGCCATAAAGATAGGCAAACAGATATTTTCTGCCAATGTGCTGATGACTTCTCACAGGGTTGAAGAAATGAGAAAAGTATCAATTGTTTTAGAATTCCTTCAGAACACAAAAAATTATGAAAAAAAAAAGGGACTCATCCTTATGAATCTAACTTCATATTAATTAGAAAGACATATATGGCTGTATCTTACAAAAAATATTTAAATAAAAAATGTAAAACATCAATTAGTTTTCTTACCTCTTGTTCCTTATATTTTTCCTCTAAACTTTCCAGAGTCCAACTAGAAGACAAATTAATAGGACACAAACGGCTTTCCAGCTCTCTTAGCCATCTTCTTAAATTTTTCATTCGATAAGTGATCTCTGAAAGAAAGGATATAACACTTTGAGCAACACTTATTTGCCATCAGCAACAAAATTTAGCCATCAGCATACTATTAACTATTGTCAATGCTCAGTATGATTACTGATCTATATAAGATTGGGTTAAGATTGGGTTTCTACTGGAAGAAAAAGGCAGGAGGGAAATAAGAAAATGAAAGAAACTAAAGAAATAGACAATGATGCACTTCAAAGGCTGCTAAAGGGGATAAATTTATTAACAACCATTTAAGTAACTTTAAAACAGATGTTTTATTATTTCTGCAATAAAATGCAAAGTAAATAAATGTTTTTTTTTTTTTTTTTTTTTTTTTTTTTTTTTTTTTTTTTTAAATCCAATGAAAAATGACCTAGAATTATATTCATTTACTAATGTGATATTTCACTGAAGTTCCCCCCCCCCTCCTATCGAATATGTGTGCTCAGTTAAAAAAAAAATAATCATTACAATTTAAGACATTTTTTAAATGCATTTAAATAAGTTTCCTGGGATATTTCAAGGTTTAAAATTTGGTGTGTTTTAAACATGCCCAAATTTACAGAATTCCCCCCCCCTTTACACATACTTTTGTTTAGTAAAGTTTCCAGTAGTTTCTCTTCTTTCCTTTAATTTGGCGAGTCAAGTCTTTGATCCGGACATCCATAACCCAGAATGATCTATAATCCGGACTTAAAGCGACAAACTTTCTGCGCATGCGTAAACACATAATACGTTTATGCATGCGCATAATACCTTTACGCATGTGCATCTTTACGCATGCACGTTTAATGTATAATGGACGGTATAAGCTAGGCTAAAATTATCTAATTATCTATTTCAGTTAATGTTGCAGATTACGTTGTTCCTTAATCTTCTAATTGGATCTGGCTTATTATTTTTTGCAGACTGTTAGAGCAATTTTATAAAAGTAAGCTTCAACTTTCGATTATGTCAAAAAGAATTTCCGATTCTAGAGCTGCCAAAGGATCTACAAAGCGAAAGCATGCTTCGATGTCCATCAAACAAAAAGTGGATAAATTGCATGCAAAAAAAGGGACAGAAAGGCTGATCCTTTGCTTCTCTAACCATTCTAAAATCTGTTTATTAATTTCTCGCTGCTCTGCAGGGGGACGGACGTCGCGGTACGCAATGAACTGGAAGTTGATCCGTCAGCACTATCCTTATCTTCAGGGCAGATGTTTTTATTTTATTTGGCTTATAATTCTTTACTAAATGCAGTATTTCATCTTGATGTATTCTGTCTTTGACATGACTTAAATCAAATATGCGTTGAAAGAAATGTTTAATAAAGTAAACAAATAAATATTAAGTTTTTTTTTTTTTTTTTTTTTTTTTGTAAATTTTGATACCTTTAGATCGGTTCCCAGACAAAAGCCCACTGGACGAAAGCACACGCGACAAAAGCCCACGAAAAAAAGCCCACTATGATAATTGCCCACGCGACAAATACCCACAGCAATGATAAACGCGTATTGATAAAAGCACACATTGATAAAAGCCCACAGAGATATAAGCCCACACTGATAAAAGCGCACATATTCAAAAGGGACTTATTCAATTATTATAATCAAAAGGGCTTTTTTATTACTAAACCGTGTATTTATAATTTTAATTTTAATAAATGGAGTATTCAGATCTGAATTTTAATGTCTCTAAATATGTCTGTTTGTATATTTTATCACTACTTTATTTGTTTAATTTATTAGGTTGAAAGCAAACTTTCTACTCTCTGATTAAGTGATTAGCTGTAACGTTTCAATGATAAATCTGAAATTGCATTGTATTATTTATTTACTTATTTAACTTTGGTATGTGTATGTGAAAATGAAAAATATCATTGTGGAGTTTCTCATATGTTTTCAAGGTAATATGGCTGAGATTAAATATAATTATGTTTCATTATTAAAACTATTAACTTTTTAATTAAAAACACTTTATTTTATTAAAAACACTTAACTTTAATTTTATTTTATTTCTTTTTACTTTTTCCTTTAGTTCCTTTTAGTTCCTTTTTAGTTTAAGAATATTAAAACAGTTAAGCACAATGAAAACTTGGCTAAGAGATATTTTATTCCTTACTTTAGACTGAGCTTATCAAAGTTTAAACATATTTCTCACTGAAAGCTGTTCTGAATGTAACAGTTATAATTTGGCGATTTTCTAGACATATTTTCTTTTAGATTTCTTAATAAATTAAAACTGTCAACTGTCACCCTGTCAGAAAATGAATTCCAAATGTAACCTTTTAATCTTTCAACTACAGCAATTTGGAATAGTGTTTTTAATTTTCATTTTATTTATTTATTTATTTGGAGGGGAGGATGGAACAACTGATAGAAGTCAACATATCTACAAATTTAAGTACAATCACCTCCAACTATAGTAACAGAATAAGTGCGAACGGCAGCGGACAAACAAGACTATTTTGGCATGAAAAGAGGACGGACAAAATGGCACTAAGCCAAGGGAAGACATGCCTTCGTGGAGGACGTTTTAAAGGAAACTCGCTCGTATACATGTTACACAAGGGGAAAACCATGAAAGTTCCCTTGCAGTCAGCCTTTCCATTGGACTTTGAACCCCGGACCGAGCTACCAATGTTCAGTGTTTTTTCCGCTTGGCCGCTGGTGAGCTTTGTGCCTACATGAAAAGCTTAAGAATTGGATGACTGACGCTTTCTTAATGTACAGCTATTATTCCATTTTTTATTAATTTTTATTCATTTAACTAATTATTTATTTTTCCCAATATTTGAACTTTTTTTCACATTTATTTTCAAAGGAACAATATCTAGTAAGTTTTGCAAATCGAAAATAAATGATTAAGTCTTAGGTGAGATACGTTCTACCAATCAAAAAAGTGTTTTCACGTTCAGAATGTAATATATGTAAGTTATTATGTATACTGCTTGTCTCAACAAATGCTCAAATGTTTTTTCTCTTTTGAATCAATAGAATTTTTTTTATGACACTAATCCCAGTAAAACGAAGAATTTTATTTAATTTTATGCTTGAATGTTAGCTTCAAGAATGGAGCTAACAAACAAGTTATAATAAGGTCTAATCGTTCATGGGAGCATGTAAATTGTCAATGACCTTCTGTAAGATTGCTAGTGACTTCTCACTAGTCAACAGAGTCCGCCGAGCGGTAAAGTCGCGGAATACTGGTAGTTCAGTCTGAGTTTTGAATCCCGTGAACGGGCTGGCTGCATGGGCGTTTTCGTAGTTTTCCCCATGTGTAAATTGTATGCGAGCCAGTTTCTCTTAGAAAGTCTTCCACGAAGACAACGACTGGTGTAACGGTTAGCACACTAGTGCGTATTCGAGAGGTTCCAGTTAGAGTCCCTGCGAGTGCATTGCTCATTTTTCACGTCTCCAGCATGACGCCTGAACTAAAAAAAGGTGGTGGTGGTGGATGGTGATTCTTCTCCACCAAGATTTGACGACTAGGTCCCCTAATACCCAGTCGTCTTTAAAAGGGGGAGTATATAAGGTATTTTCTCCCTCCTTCCAGAATGGCTTCGTGGTGTGATGGTTAGTACAATCGGATCGTATTCGAGAGATCCAGCCTCTAGTCTCGAAGAGGGTAATGCTTATTTTTCATGGTCTCCTGCATAAAAAAAAAAAAAAAAAAAAACTAATGACTCTACAGTAAGAACTAAAGATCTGTAAAGTATAAAAGTCTATATTTAATTCAACTTGGCTCAGTCTAGACCAGTGATTCTCAACAGTTCTTCCCTCATGTGCCCTTTTCACCATTGCTAAACGATCATTCAACCTCTCCTTCCTAAAACTTGAAAAGTACATATGCGTTTGTTTAAATATGGATTATTTTTAATGTAAATAAAACAAGTATAAAACATGTTGTTAAATACCAAAATTTTAAACAAAAGTGCTTTTTGTATTCATAAACTAAATCTAAATACGTAAAGAAAAGTTTGACTAAATTACTCTCTGAAACTGTGAAATTCCCCTTAAGACTATCGCTCCTGATTGAGGACCCATAGTCTAGACAGAATTAGTTTTTAATAGTGACTGAATGTACAGATAATTTAATTTGTCCCACTTCTCTTATACTAACTTTTGTTATATAAAACTTCGGATTACATGCATGTTTTTTGAAAATAAAGTTAAGACACAAATTTAAAAAAAATTATGTTTAAAATTTGATGTTGAATTCAAAAACGTTTATTTGGTAGCCAGACCTAATAAAGCTAAGAGATCAAATTTGAAGTATACCTTACTTGTTCTTACTAACTTCTGCTTAATGAATTATTCTTAGGAAAGAAACTTAAAAACTGGTGAAACATTTCATGCTAGAAAACAAGATATTAGAAACTTTTGAACTCATTCAATAAGGGAAAAAATTATTATTTAAAACGTAGCTCCATAATTAAGCATTTTTTCTACTTGATCTACAACACACAAGGTTTATAAGAAATATCTCCTACAAGTTATGTGGCCTCTATTTCTGTGTTGTCAGAATATGAAATTCGTATAGGGGAAAACAATGCATTTTGAGGTGAAGAAAATGACCTTAATTTGATAGTTTTTCTAAATAATAAATTTTTACATGTTATGTGTTTCTTTTTCTTAATCTAGGCAAAAAAATATTCAACATGTAATAACAGCATAAAACCCACAAAGGAAGTGTTCCAGTGAAATTCACTTTCTAAATGCTGTTTAAATTTGCTTCATTGAAAGTCTGTATATAAAAAATTACGGTATATTAAAATAAACTGTTTTTTAAGTGTTTACAATTAATCAAGTAACATAAAATTTTTTATTGAAATAAAAATTATTTTTAATGTGCAAGATTACTTTTCTTACAACGCTGGGCTCATGTTTCCTAAATCCTCTTGTTCTTGAGTTCGGAAACCTTCGTTATTAAAATTATTCGAATAGTTTAACTTTTATATGGTTTCATATTTTTATTTTAACTTTCATATGGTTGCGTTTTCAACCATATGAAAGTTAAAATG